ACTGCAGTTCTTTTATTCTAGTATTTGGCAGTACTGGGGAAAGAAATGTGATTTAGATAGACTGGACATGGATTGTAGTCTGTGGTATTGTTGGATAGTGGTCCTGGAGTTTGACAACTTGTGTCGAGGTTCTAGAATCTGGCAGTGTGGTATGGTACTTGGGTTCTGTGATAGCCACGACTGTGAAGGGAAATGTAAAGGTTGAGAGGAGTATGGAAGGAATGTGTAGTTATGTTATAAATTCCCATGTTTAAAACTTTAGAGGAAATCTTATGAATTTGTTATGTGGGAATTCTGTCATCTGTGAGAAATGGATTTTTAGAGCATTGGAGAGACTGGAGGACCACGTTTCGTTGGTGCTAACAGGAAGAATTTGTAGGTTTGGCTGAGATTTGTGACTTTTTAAATAAAATACCAAAATTATAAAATCCCCTTATAATTATTGGATGCCAATAATTATAAAAAGATTCCAAATGTGCTGATGGAATCAACTCTGTTCTTGTCATTAAAATTATTCCATGAATTCTACAGATCACATGCATCCTATTCGTTGAACATACTGGCAAATCAGCAAGAAACAATTTAAACATTCTGTTGAGTGTTGAGTTTAATCAGCTTTCTGATTGTCTAAATTTTAAATTACTTTCATGTTGCTGAAACAAAGGGACCTTGGTGTACAATACCATAGATCCCTAAAGGTATCAGCTCTGGTAGACAAGGTGGTGAAGAAGGCATATGGGATGCTTGCCTTCATTAGCTGGGCTATAGAATATAGGAGCAAGGAAGTCATATTACAACTTTATAAAACATCGATTAGGCCACAGATGGAATACTGAGTGTGGTAACCAGAAATGCACAATTGGAAGGATGTGATTGCACTGGAGAGGGTGCAAAGGAGATTCACCAGGATGTTGCCTGTGATGAAATGCCTGAGTTTTAAGGAGAAATTGGATACGCTGGGTTTGTTTTCCTTGGAACAGAGGAGGCTGAGGGGGTATTTGAGTAGATTAGGATTATTTACATTAGAAAGACGGAGGTTGAGGGAGGACCTGATTGAGGTCTACAAAATCATGTCAGGTATAGACAGGGTGGATAGCCAGAAGCTTTTTCCCCACAGTGGGGGACTCAATTACTAGGGGTCACGATTTCAAGGTGAGAGGGGAAAAGTTTAAGGGAGATATGCGTGGAAAGTTCTTTACGCAGAGGGTGCTGGGTGCCTGTAACGGGTTGCCAGCGGAGGTGGTAGAGGCAGGCACGATAGTGTCATTTAAGATGTATCTAGACAGATACATGAATGGGCAGGGAGCAGAGGGATACAGATCCTTGGAAAATAGGTGACAGGTTTAGATAGAGGATCTGGATCGGCGCAGGCTTGGAGGGCCGAAGGGCCTGTTCCTGTGCTGTAATTTTCTTTGCTCTTTTCTCTGTTCTTTGATTGAAGCATACAAAATTGAAAGGTATAGCCCAGAGCAGATCATGAGAATCTCTTTCCGTATACAGATGTGTCTAAAACCAGAAGATATATCTTTAATGGGAGGAGCAAGTGATTTAGAGGTGATCCGAAGAAAATTTTTTTTCACTCATGTTGGTATATGGAACATGCCTGATAGGGTGGTGGAGGCAAGTACTCTTGCAATGTTTAAGAAGCATCTGGATGAGCACTTAAAATGCCAGATCTTAAAGGCTGTGGATCAAGTGCCAGTAAATGGGATTAGTGTAATTTTGTTTTTGTTAGTCAGCATAGACATGGTAGGATGAAGGGCCTGTTTCTATGCTGTATGACTGACTCTAAATCTCTGCAATTTGATGTGGTTCCTGATCAAGTGCTGCGCATTGTGTTGCAGTCACTCGTTCATATTACCAAATAGTCTGTTTACACTTGCCATCGATGCAACATGGATGATGGCAGTCAGAATCTTTTTATTTGCTTGAAATGTTTCCAACTCCAATTTTTTGTAAAAGAAGTCCAGCATTTTCTCTCTGTTCATTTGTCTTTTTTGTCTTTCAACATGATCTACAGGTAGTTATGCTATGATGCGATAGTTGTGTTCTTGTGTGACCTTGTGCTAAAGAAAATTGCATTATAGGGAAATTGCTATAGAAAATTGCTATACCTGTACAGCAGAAAGTTCGCGTTATCCGAACAGCGTCCACTATTCACCAATCACGTTACAGCCAATCTGTGTTTATGAAACACACGTTATAGCAGAACTACCTGTACTTCTAAAAGTAACAAAACGGATACCAGGTGTTAGTTTGGTTGAAATCTTGTGTGTGTATTTATTCAAATCATTTTCCATAATGCAATATGAAACATCAGTTTGTAGTTAAAATTTTGTATTTTCAATAATCAAATATAACACTTTAAATTTAGCAATAAATGTATAATCAATACAATTTGAAGTCTGAGTAGCTTGAGGTAGTCATTCACCTCTGAAAAACATCTGTTTACCTTTTACTTAGGATAATGATTGGAAACAAACCACACAATTCATTGAATTTCTGCGAGACAGAATTGTCAGTGATTTTACCATGAAACCCATGAAAATTCCCTTGTCACTTTGAAATTGACAAGCAAGAGAAGTTGGCTGTGTTTTATCATGCTTGCAATTTTAGTGAGGAGGAACACTCCCTGTTCTTTCTTGCTATTATGTCAACTTTCACTATCCTTCCTATAGCAGGGGGATTAGATCTGCACGCAGTATACCTATAGTGGTCTCACCAATGTCCTGTACAGCCGCAATATGATCTCCCAACTCCTATACTCAATCCACTCACCAATAAAGGCAGGCTTACCAAATGCCGCCTTCACTATCCTATCTACCTGCGACTTCACTTTCAAGGAACTATGAACCTGCACTCCAAGGTCTCTCTGTTCAGTAACACTCCCAGAACCTTATCATTACGTGTATATGTCCTGTCTTGATTTGCCTTTCCAAAATGCAGCACCTCTCATTTATCTAAATAAAATTCCATCTGCCACTCCTCGGCCCATTGACCCATCTGATCAAGATCCTGTTGTACTCTACAGTAACCTTTGCTGTCCACTACACCTCCAATTTTAGTGTGATCTTCAAACTTACTAACCATAGCTCCTATGTTCACATCCAAATCATTTATATAAATGACAAAAAGCAGTGGACCCAGCACTGATCCTTGTGGCACACTGCTAGTCACAGGTATCCAATCTGAAAAGCAACCCTCCACCACAATCTCTCTTCCTTCGAGCCAGTTCTGTATCCAAGTGGCTAGTTCTCCCTGTATTCCATGTGATCTAACCTTGGTAACTAGTCTAACATGAAGAATTTTGTTGAATGCCCTACTGAAGTCCATATAAATCTGTTCTGCCCTCATCAATCTTCTTCATTACTTTTTCAAAAAACTCTATCAAGTTGGTTAGACACGATTTCCTACATATAAAGCCATGTTGACTATCCCTAATCGGTCCTTGTCTTTGCAAATACATAAAAATCCTGTCCCTCAGGGTTCCCTCCAACAACTTGCCCATCACTGATGTCAGGCTCACCGGTCTATAGTTCCCTGGCTTTTTGTTACCATCTTGCTTAAATAGTGGCAGAACGTTAGCCAACCTCCAGTCTTCCAGCACCTTGCCTGTGGTTATTGTTAATTGAAGGAAATTTCTGTTCAACCAAAATTAAATGTTACAAAGCAATGTGATAAAACAATGGAGGTGACTAGAAAGCTGGTGCTGAGATATTGTTGATTATCATCAACTTAAGTTTGTGGAAAATATGCTTTTGCATAATATCACTGAGGGTGAGAAGTAGGGGGTAACACTGTTGGAGCAGGAAGAGGATGGTGTGGTCAACCATGTCACGATATCAGGTTATAGTGCAACAGCTTTATTTGAAGACACCAGCTGTCGGAGTCTCGTTCTTTTTTCAGGTGTCAGTGAGAGAGGTGGCATCAGACAGAATTTATAAGCAAAAGGTCAAAGGATCATCAAACTGATGCGAATGTATTGATCAAACCTAAGATAGCTGCTAAATCTTTAATCAGGGAGAAAGGATTAACATGCAAATCCCAGAATTTCTTTCAAGTCACTGCCCCGAGATAACTGAAGGTTTTAATAGTATACCAAAGATGACATCTCAGGTTAGACAATGCATTTGAGGTGTGAGGCCTTGTTTAGAATATGGCTATGTATTAACTTGGGATCAGATTGATTTTATTTCCAAAGTAAGAATTTATCAAATGCCACATTGTCTACAAATTGTGTGCTTTTCAAACAAAATTCAATGTATCTGCAATTACAGATCTGCAAATGCAAATTCAACCCATAGATTTCTGTGTGTTCCTGTGAGTCAAAGACTGCAGCAAGGATGAGGAGGGGACACTTTCTTATGGTAATAGTCTGTGATTTTGCTTAGGCAATTACGGAGTCATCGAATTATACAGCATGGAAACTGACCCTTTGGCCAACTTGGCCGTGCCAACCAGATAGGCTAAATTAATCTAGTCCTATTTGCCAGCATTTGGCCCAAATCCCGCTAAACCCCTCCTATTCATGTACTCATCCAGATGCCTTTTAAATGTTGTAATTGTACCATTCTCCGCCACTTCCTCTGGCAGCTCATTCCATACACACACCACCCTCTGTGTGAAAAAAGTTATCCCTTGGGTCTCTCTCAAATAATCTTTCCCCTTTCCGCTTAAACCTGTGCCTTCTAGTTTTGGAATACCCCCTCCCCTGCCCCGCTGGGGAAAAGACCTTGTCTATTTAGTCCATCCATGTCCCTCATGATTTTATAAAGTGACCCCTCCTTCAGTGGCTTCATTTAAAGAATTTTTTTTCCTGGAAGAGTGGGAGCGCAGTCAGCCACTGGGAAAAGTTGGAGGAGGCAGCGTGAGGGGGGATGAGGAACTCATTGTGATGTATGGACGGAAGGTCCGGGTGAGGGGGGGGGGATGGTGGAATCTGCCACGAGTCGGAGGGGCGGGTGGAATCTGCCATTAGTGGGTAGGAGTAGGACGGGGCGGGGGGGATGCTGAGGACTGTGCCACTGTTGGAGAGGGACGAGGTTGATTCCACCACCATCCGGCGGGGCCTGTATTTCATCCTCCGTCACTGAGCTGTTGATACTCGCTGAAAATGGAGGGGAGGTAGCGGAGCAGTTTACATAGTGCAGCCTTGCTTCAGCCGGGCCCAGGCTCGGAAGCGCAGGGAGTTGGGGTTTCGGATCCGGAGAAGGATTGAGGTCGGGGCCGTTCACCATGGGGCTCTCGGAGGCTCTAAGCCTGAACGGGCGGCTGTTAGTCGGGCTCCTGGTGAACCTGTCCGCTTCCATCTGCATCGTCTTCGTTAACAAATGGATTTACGTGGAGTATGGCTTCCCCAACATGACCCTCACGTTGCTGCACTTTATCATAACCGGCCTGGGGCTCTACATCTGCCAGAGGCTTAACATCTTCTCCCCCAAAACTCTGAACCCCACCAAGATCTTGCTGCTGGCTCTCAGTTTCTGCGGTTTTGTTGTTTTCACAAACCTGTCGCTCCAGAATAACACCATTGGCACCTACCAGCTGGCCAAAGCCATGACCACTCCAGTCATTATAGTCATACAGACTGTCTACTACAAGAAGACTTTCTCTACCAGGATAAAGCTGACATTGGTAAGGAACATTAAGTCTAATAAAAGCTCTAAACATTTTGGATTGGGGAGGGGAGAGAAATGTTTGTGTATAGTTTCTCATCTTTTATTTTGAAAAAGCTTGAAACTTGCTTCTTGTAACTTTCACCAAACTTGCATCAGAATTTCAAAACAGTTGACAAACACAAATCATTACGTTATCGAGGTTAAACTACTTTTATAAATGTATATACAAGCTTTCTACTTAAATAAAAACAAAATGCTGCACACACTCAGCAGCTCTGGCAGCATCCACGAGAAAGCTTCCTTCAACAAACTCATTGTATTTCCATCATTTTCTGTTATTTTTAATTTCTGGTTTCCAGCATCTGAAGTGCTTTGTTTTTCTGCAACTAATTTGTTGATTCAAAATAACACTGGTCAAGTTGATTTGATTGTATTTGAACTTCAATTTAACATCATTATATAAAGATTGGTTCTGAATTAATGCAATTTCAATTTGGCCTGGCTACAAGGAATAATCCTTTCAATATGGAACAGAAATTTAAGTTGTTTTCCAACGCTTAGTATGGTATATGGATGGAATGGTGGGGAACATGTCCATGCCCCGTGCCAGTACTGTTGTGTTTACAGTTCATTTGTGTGAGCATACTCCTGATTCATTTTTGCATTGATATCACTTTGTCTTTAACTAAAAGACTGAATAACACTCCTATGACATTGGCAATACTGTGCATGCAGGTAATGTTGTTAGCAGATGACCATTAAAACTTACTGTTTCCAAATTACCTTGAAGTTGTATTATGCAGTGCCGTTCTGTATTGAGTAGAATGTGAATTAAGTGCATCTGAAATGGAAACCTGCTCAACGCAGCTTCTGAAGGTCAGAAATCACACGACACCAGGTTATAGTCCAACAGGTTTATTTGAGAACACAAGCTTTCAGAGCGTAGCCCCTTCGTCAGCATTTCACCTCCAAAAGCTTGTGTTTTCAAATAAACCTGTTGGACTATAACCTGGTTTTGTGTGATTTCTGTCCTTCTCCACCTCAGTCCGATACCGGCACCTCCATATCGCAGCTACTGAATCATAGCAATATGTTTACCCTTAGATTACAACTTAAATTTTCAGCTGGTTGGAGAGAGCAAGTTTTTTTTAGGTACATAATGCCAATGAATCTGATTTAAAATTTTATCCAAAATTTAGGTTACGTCTTCATAAGGGAATGTTGATGAATATTATTTATGTGAATATCCCTAGAGGTATTTTATAAAGTCCCTCAAAAAGAGACCGTTTGTTAAATTTGAAGCCCATAGAATTAATAAATATGTTGTTGAATTGAAGGTGACTTATTGACCTGGTCAGGAAATTCACCGGGTGTTGTAGAGACTAGGCATAATGAGAATGTACTTTAGTTGACAGGATCTGTTGTTATATCCTCAACAGTTCACTGTATTACCGATTATAGATCAAAGCATAACATTATAAGATAATATTGATAGGTTAAGTAAAGGGAAATACTGTGGCAAACTGATTTCAATTCACATGGATGTGAAAGGTGGTCTTAAGGCAGTTATAAGTGAAATGCTAGAAATGATGATGGTCCAAAGAGACTTGAGAATCCAAGTACATTAAAAATAACTTAAATATATACAGAAAATAACTAAATATCAATGGATCTAGATTACCAGAATATGAGATGGTAGAAGTCATGCCTTAACTATATGAAGCATGCAACATCTGGAGTACTGTGGCAGTTCTGGTACCATGTTGTAGAAAGCATGTATTGACTTTGGAGGGAATGCATTATCAATTTATCAGAATGATACTTGGATTTTAAATGTTACATTTTTAAGCTGTTAAGGACACAGTTAGTAAAGGTAGATAGATAACTAGAAACTATTTACACTAGTTGAGGAGTCCAAGTCTAGGTGTGGGATGGGATGCATAGCTTAAAAATTAGAGCCAGACATGTCAGAATTGAGTTAGGAAATATTTCGACATAGTTAGGAGGTAGAAGTTTGAAATATTCTTCAGATCAGTTGGTTTCTGCTGTCAGTATGGAAGTGTGTATGGAATTAGGCTGCAGATCAGCTACGATCTCACTAAACAAAACAGGCTAGAGAAACTGAATGTCTCATAATGGGTTGCATGGTTCTATATTGACTGCTCTGGACCTTTACAGAAATCTGTTTTAAGCGTTTGTCTGTTACTTCACTGCCAGTGGTGGTGGAGTAGCTTTAATGTTCACAAAATTAAACTCAATATGCAACCTTGCTTTGCACATTTGTATAGAAGTCTCAAATCTTAAATTCTCCGTTGGTTTTATTGAAATAAAACAAAAGTAACAACAAGGCCCAACCCTAGGCTTAAACATCTTTAGGTGCTTAATGACTTCATAAGATTAGAAATGGAAATGTTCACTAATGACTGTGCACTGTTCAGGACCAAACATAACACCTCAGATACTGAAACAGTGTCCAGATGCAGCTAGACAGACAATATCCTGGTTTTGACTGTTATGTGGTAAGCAACATCTGCGCCACAAGTACCTGGCAATGACCATCGCCAGCAAGAGGGAATCTAACCATCACCTCTAGATGTTCAATGACATTACAACTGCTAAATTCCCCCTGTCAACATCCTGGGGTTACTACTGGCCAGAAACTGAACTGGACTAGCCATAGAAATATTATGGCTGCAAGTGCAGGTCAGACACAAGAAATTCTGTAAAGTTCTAATTCTATACTTGCCTGTCTCCCCAATACCTGTCCACCATCTACACGGCGCAAGTCTGGAATATGAAAGTGTACTCTCCACTTACCTGGATGAGTGCAGCTCCAACAACGTACAAGAAGCTTGACCTCATCCAGAACAAAGCTATCCACTTTGACTGGCATTCTGTCCACCACATTCCACATTCATTCCCTTCAACACCGATGGTACACACTGTTGCCGCTGTGCATCTACACAATGCATTGGAACAACTCACCAAGGCTTCTCTGACAACACCTTCCAAACCAATGACCTCTGCCAAAAAGGAGAACAAGGAAAGCAGATGCAAGTACCAACACCTGCAAGTTTCCCGCCAAACCACATACCATCCTGACTTTGAACTATGTTGCAGTTTCTTCAGAGTTGTTGGCTCAAAATCCTGGGACTCCCTTCTTGACAGCATTGTGGATGTCACAAGGACTGCAGCAGTTCAAGAAGGCAGTTCACCACCACCACCTCCAGGCAATTGGGGATGGGCAGTGAATACTGGCCTAGCCTGCAACGTCCAAGTCCCACAAACAAATTTTTAAAAAGCAACACACAGTGCTCACACAGTCATATAAGTAAATCGTTCGCAACCTTTGCGTGCCGATATCAAAAAAAACATAAGTATTAGTTGCAGTAAATGTGAACTGATAAAATTAGCCAATAGTATCTAGATTCTACATACAATAGTTAGCTCTGTAAGCATCACACCATTGGCATTAGCAAATCTTACCTTAATGTATCACTGTTACATAGGAATGAATCAACATTGAATGTAATGACTGGAGTACTTTTGCCTAGCATCTTTTTCTAACTAAAATGTGATCAAATTTTATAGACAAGCTGTTTAAATATTAAATATGTATATTTCTCTTAATGATTTATCAAAAGTTTTAAGCATCACTACTGAAATAAGTCAAGGTACAATGATTACGTTGTAATCTGTAGTCAAAGTAAAATAGCCAGGCAACCAAACCCCTAAAACCATGAATAAGTCGACTGTTCTGCACAGTCCCTGCCTTTTCTAATATGTATTCATGGACTAAGATATATTTTTGAAGTTGATTTTTTTTTAATGACATGCAGGTCACATGCAGTGAATGAATGTCTATTTCACAGGGTTTTTTTAAAGGTTACTGCTTGAATCAACACTTTCACATAGCTTACTTTTTATTATTAGATATTACAAGTTTCATGTGTATCTTTTGACCATGTGATTTTTAGTATGAGAATCTTTGAAATCTGCATTTTGTAATTTGTTTCTTACTAATGATTTAGTAAATATTTATTTTAATTTTTTTTTTATAAAATCAATTTTTTTTTTTTAAACATCTAGAACCACAGTTACTATTTTTCATCCAAATAGAAATTTAGATGTTTAGTGTAATATGTTTGGTTCTTCTCTTCTGGAAAATGTACTAGTCTGTATGGCTATAAATGTTAAACTGGAAATAACCATCTCCCATTTATTTCTTACAGATCCCTATTACTTTGGGAGTATTTCTGAATTCTTACTTTGATGTGAAGTTTAATTTTCTAGGAATACTTTTTGCAACACTTGGTGTTTTGGTTACCTCAATATATCAAGTGGTTAGTAGTTTTGATTTGTCTTGCATACTTTTATAAGTACTAAACACAAATACTTTGTGTTTAACACAATCTAAACATCCTGATGTTTGGAGATAACAACAGGATCATCGGAAGTGCTTACATTAAACAATTACTTTTAATATCCTAATTGTTCCAAGTGCTTTGCTGAATACTTTTCTTAAAAGCTTAGTTTGCAATTTGAAATTACTTTGCTGTATTTTGAGTAAGTGGTTCATTTTTTAAAATTGGAACGTTTCCCTGGATTATTTGTTTTTATGTAATACATTTTCATTATAGTTTTCTAAGTGCTTGTTATGCTTTTGTTCAAATATTTTCTTATCTTTTACTTTGCCGATTGGCTTTAACTAAAGTGGCAACAAATGACCTTTTCCAATGTTGTAAGTGGTGCTACATTTTAATATGGCCGTGTTACAGTTGGCTCCATGAGACCTGATAATTTGGCCCAAAATATTTCTTATTTGTAGGTTAGTCCTGTAGTGTCATGGAATAGAGGTTTAGAAAGGGCTCATAGCTGAGTAATGGAGAAAATGTAGATCAGCCAACTAAGTTCTGTTAGTATCGGTAATCTGGGTTATCTGCAAATTAATGTTACATGCAGCTAAGTTGCCTTTGTTGTCCTTAAGCCTGTGTGGTACAGACTTGTTTTGATCACGGAAACAAAGAAAATTCTGGACCTGGGGACTAAATTGTGGAAAAATTCCTATCTTGCCCGAGGATATTAATTTCTCTACTTGAATGCACTATTTAACATGCCACATATAACAGGAAGATTCTCAGCTGTTATGTTAGCTGACGTAAGCTCTGGCATGACTCCTGCTACTGATTGCTGTCAATGCTGAACGCCTGTTTCAACTTTCTATATTAAAATATGTTGAAAGTGGGATTGTAAAATATTTATTATCCTGTTGCTACTTTGAAAACAGATTCTTGGTTTCTGGCCTTGTTTTACAATGACTGATCGGCATTCTTGTTTATTCATCCACATGGTTGCAGATCTGTTTAGTACTGAGTCTGCTCATATAATTAAATTTCCATGTAACACATCAGATGTTGGATATGTAGGATGTAAAGTTATGTTTATCTGATGTAAGGGAATAAAATGAAGGGCTGGTTACCTTGTTGGGTAAAGAGATAACAAGGTGTAGGGCTGGATGAACACAGCAGGCCAAGCAGCATCATAGGAGCAGGAAGGCTGACATTTCGGGCCTAGACCCTTC